ATTATGTAATCCGAAGATTCTTGAATGGTTTAAGAGGACCGATAGTAAAGCTGGTTGTTGTGATGGATCCGAAGAACATTGAAGAAGCAATCAAATATGCGAGGCGAGTTGAAGTTGGGAGTTATTATGAAAAGCAAGCAGAAGAAAATAAAATAAATCCCCGACCTATGTTAACTAAGGATACCCCTGTAATTGTCCGAAATAAGACAAGTAATGGTATTACTTGTTTTGTTTGTAAAAAAATGGGACATATATCCTGTAAATGTGTGTCTAAAAAGAGGACGGTGGGAAATTTGTTGAGCTACCATAGAAATTTCAAACGACCTCGTTATACGAATTGATAAATAAAAGGTCAAATAATACATTACCACTAGAATATCAAGAAGAGAATTATTTTACCGAAGAAAAATATATTTTATTATGGGCAAATATAACGACTATCTTAAAGATTTAACTAGATTGCTAGAAATTGAACCAGATAATATAATGGTATTAAAATATCGGGGAGAAAATAATTATATGATGAAAAGATTTATTCACCCCGTAACACTAACAATGAATAACAATAAAAAATTTGAAATTTCAATATTTTTCAAAACGTTAAGACATACAGAAATATTTGATTTTGAGGAACCCCATCCATGGTGTAATATTAATATAAGTGATCCTTTAATTAATAATCTCCGTGATCTTAGCATAGTGATCGGGGATTAGTATGGTATACAGTTATAATCGGATACGAAATTGGGTGACTATATCTATAAAGTCATTAAATATATGATTAAATATTTGTGGTGACTATATAAAATTTTTATATTTAATTATATATTTTAAAATAATTAATACATAAAAGCGGCTCTAATAGTAGCTCTAATCAAAGTTAATATCTAAATCATAAAATCTGAATTTAATTATTAAATCCGGATTTTATAATTAAATTCAGATCCGGCATTAATTCTAATTTTTATCCTAAACTATTTAAACTTCACGCCTGTTTCCTTGTAGAATTCTAACTTATATAATAAGTGAATTTACAAGCATCTATAACCTTGAGTCTGCCAGGCGACCACCAAAAACACAAGGACATGATGAAATCAATATGTATTAGAATATGCTTGAGGTAAAAAAAAAAAGGATATATGTACGTACGTATGTAGCTTATTTTAAAAAGCTTCGATTGATAATTATTGTCGCAGCTGATGCTGAAAACGGCTGATGCTGAAATTTTTTTATATTTTATTATAAAATTATAAAAAATTTTTGGGCCTTTTTTTTACACTTTTTTTTCATAGTTAGGTTAGGGTTAGTAGGGTAGTTTTATTAATAAAAATGTATATGTAGATTTTAGTAGGTATTATAGATTTAAATAGAGACCCCAAATTTCAGCATCAGCTGCGACAATTATTATTACTATTAAGAGGCGAGCAGTTTACTTTAAAGATTTCAATTAATAATTGTGGTGGATTATGCTGAAAATTTTTCGTATTTTATTATGAAATTGCAGAATTTTTTTAGGGTTAGGTTAGGGTTAGGTGTAGTTTTATTATTTAAAAAGTATATGTGGATTTTAGTAGGTATTATAGATTTAAAAAGGGACCCCATTTTTCAGCATAATCCTCACAATAATTAAGTCAGTAGCTTATTTATCGATACTAGTTGGAGGTAGCTATCCCAGCAAAAATATCACGGTGATACGGCTTATTTGCCGTATAAGTAGAAATGCTGCATTTCGTATAAATGCCGTATAAGTGTTGTATGCTGTATTAATACCGTATGCCATCATTCACCTTAATTTAGTGGGCGAATATAATGATGACCTGTTAATAGATGGATTAAAAAAGAGATTCGTGTTTACAAACACTTATTTACTACTAATTAATACTCTTCAGATTACATTTCTATTCGGTCAGTGAGTATTACAATAAATTTTTAATGATATAAAAAATATATATGACATTTGACGATGATTAAAGCAACCTAAAATACGGAAAAAAGTATACATTGTAATAAAGACAACGCGTTTAAAAGCATGGTGTTTGGCATGTGATCCCAACAAGTAAAAATGAGAATATTAATGATTGCATCAGAGAATTTCAGCTTAGAACCCTGGGAATGCAATTGAACGGATTTTTTCATTCAACAAAATTACCGTATAAACGCAAAACAACGCTCGTGGGCATTATTTTGAAAATCGGATCCTTCAAAAATAACTTATATGTTCTCGACATTAGCACTATGGGAATCCCGAAATAACGCGCATCCGAATGTAGCACAAAATTTATTGTTACGATAAAATGATATACAGTCGACACTCCATTTGTGCACTCTCTATAATTGCACTTCACCCTATAATGATAAGTGCACATAATCGTTATGTAGATTATGCTTCATAAATGAATATTCTATAAATGCACTTTTACCCAAAAAACGTGCAGATATGGAGGTTGACTATATTGGATTTACTCTTAATTCGAGACAACGTCCCGAATTAACGCGTATCCTAGTGGAGCACATAATTTGTTGCGATAAATGATATACAGTCGGCACTCCATATCTATAAGTATACTTCACATGCACTTTCCCTATAATCTTTACAGAAACCTGTGTTTTTTGCTAAATATGTTTACAATATATTAATTATATATTAGCAATGTTATTATTATATGATCTAAAATAGTATATAATAAATATACTTTGAATATATATTAATCATATAATAACTATATTTTTG